ATGGTGGCGACTGAGCTTCTTTCCACGAATGACGACGATAGCATCAAGAGGATTACGGTAGGTCGAGCTCTGATTGGTTGCGATTGAATGTTCAATGAAATGATTTTTTCAGAGCATTATGACTTCAGAAGCGAAGGTAGTGCTCCTTGAGCCAGTTGATGGTACGGACGAAGAGTCCGTTAGAGAGGTGAGTGAATAATTTGGAGCGATTGTGGATCGCTGTCCTTCCAAGCTCTTGCTCACTCATTATGTGTACTTGAAAGCGGTCTCAATTTTTACTCCCCGTTCCAAGTACGAGCATGAGGAGGTAGTGGGGTACCATGAATGGCTGGCGCAGGCCAGGGTAAACCAATAGGGTGTCTCACTAGGTGGTCTCGTTCGACTCTCTTGGGAGAGGAGGGTTGCCACGCGGAATGAGCATGCATCTTGAATAGGGGAGCCGGGCTAGTAAGGGTGTAGGGAATTTCTGGGGTGATTTATCAGATTTTTCAAAATTTTTTTGGGAATTTGGGAAACTACGAGATTTCGGAGTTTGTTTGGTATATCCCACTCGACGGAGGTTTTTTGGGGAAAGTCAGATACAATTACAGGCAGGGTGGAAGTACCATCTGGGAAGAGAAAGGAAGGGTGGTGGCCCAGTTTCCTTGATCTAGTGGAGACGGGGTTCAAAAACACTCGAAAATAGCGTTTTCTTCCAGCGATTGACTGCATGTGGATTCAAAAACATCGACATTGTTGACGTCACCGAGGAGTGCCGAAGCGCAGAAGCATCCTTTTTCAACGACCATAATTTGGTGAGTTCAAAATCACTTAGAGACGGATTTCACTATGAAGAGGTAGCCCATTGGAAATTAAGGTAGAGATGGTCAGTGAGCACGAAAGAAGAAAAAACCATGAAAAACGGCCTAGAACCCGAGAAATGGGACCCTTCCTTGCCCGTTGATTTGCGCATTGATGCGACTCTCATCGGTGCTGCCCTCTTCAACGCTAACGCTCTCTCTGCTAAACGGCTAGAGGCTCAGACAGCGAGAGGAGGGCGTACCGCGCCGATAGCGCGCCAATAGCGCTATGCTGATCGTCGGGGGCATTACCTTCGATGAAATAACCCTGAGAGGGTCTGTCTGTCTCACTAAAGGATTTCCCCTTCTTCGACATTCGTCCTTTCGTGGAATCCTCCTTCAAAGCATTTTGGGCGTCTTTAGCCAGACATGTCCAAAAGAAAAAATATATACCCAAATATTTTTTGGTAGTGTTAGACGTTGACGCGTGGCCCATTCCAAAAGGGATTTTTCAACGCCGATTACTGTCCTGTCTGCTTTAAGCTGTATTGAAGCTAGTTTACTTTTGTATCGATGCTATTTATTTTAGGATGTCGAGCCATCTGATTGTAATTACCTACTCATCAAAGCATCACTCTAATCCAGGACGATAAAACACGGTTTATTTCTGTTTACGTATCACTTTACTGCTATGATATAAGCCTTTGAACGAGGATTACGGTGTTGTGAGAAATGTATTGTAACTTTTCTTACCGATTTATAACTGTGTTGAATTCGCTGAAGTTAATTGATCTACTCATTGAGATGAAATTGTAAAAATAACCCCTCCAATTGCTTTTGAAGAACGTTGTACCGGTGATCTAATAAAACTTCTCATTTCCAGTGCGGTCTATCACCTTCATTTTCCTTCAACATAAGCTAGTGAGTGAGCTTACTAAGGAACGATTTTTCAGCCTCCACCTTGGCACACTTGCGATGAAGATCAGTCTTTGTTTGTGCTGAATTATTGAGGGAAGGCAATGTTGGGCACCTTAGCGATCTGTTGGGTTCCTTCACTCCACCTTCTACAGTGAGGTGGAATGGAGGCGTATTATACGTTGTAGGACAGGCATTGTCTGGGACGGTAGTAAAGTCTCCTAAACGGCCAGTCTATAGTTGGCCAATAGGTCACGTTGACCTCGCCTTCGTCCGCACCTAAAAAGCATGGGAAAGGCGGGAAACTCGCGCTGACCTGCCGCAGAGGGCGAGGTCTAGGCACATCTTAAGTGGCCAACGTATAAGGTGGCC